GCGCGCTGCAGTCTGCTCAGTGTGTGTGCTGTGATTGTGATTAATGTATATGTGTTTTGTGTGTGTACTTAGATGTATTTGATGGATGTGTAACCATTAGGCATGTATTGATTAGGTGAAATAAAGTTAGAGTCTTAGTCTCGTGTGGAGTTTTGGAACTTGTAAGCTTGTATTTTTAGTGAAAAATACGGCTGCGATATAGTTTGGCAGTTGATAATTTCTTGGATAATGACTCTGTGCATTGACTGGTGTATAAATCCACCGAAATATTATTATGATAATGGTGTCAAACCCGTGGTCATATTGTAGGAAATATTATCAATCCTGGCATTACCTGAATAACGAAAAAATACAATGAGCCCAGTGCACGCGCACACTCTGAGCGCAGTGCGTAGGTCAGGCCCTGAGTGTGCGCGCTGCGCTGCGCTCAGTGTGTGCGCTGCATTGCGCTTACTGTGTGCGCGCTGTTGTGTGATCAGTTCTTGTGCTTCAAACGCCTCTGTGTGTGTGTGTGTGTGTTGTGTGTGTGTGTGTGTGTGTGTGTGTGTTGAGTGTGTGTGTGTGTGTGTGTGTGTGTGTTGTTGTGTGTGTGTGTGTGTAGTGTGTGTGTGTGTGTGTGTGTGTGTGTGTGTGTGTGTGTGTGTGCGTAACGGTTGGGTAAATGTATAAGGTTTATTATGTATTGATGGAAAGATAAGAAACCTTTGTCATCTTTCACACCACTTCCAACATGTGATCACGTCATTAATTACAAACACATTCACTGTTACTGGTATTTGAAAGAGTCACAGGTCATAGACTTTATATAAAGAAGAGGAGGAAAAAATATACAGGTGGGGACGAAAAACTCATGAATTATCAGACAGACAAAAGACAACAGTGCAGGAATTATAAGACCAATGCGCTGTGTGTGTGCGTGTTGTAGGAGTCTTTGTGAGTGCGCGCGTTGGAATCGACAAGTTGTGTGTGTGTTAAAAGTGGTACGATGTGCGTGCGTTGCGTACGCCCCCTATGTGTGTGTGCAAAGTACCTACAGTGTGTGTGTGTATTTTGCAACACTTGGCCCTCCGTAATGGTAACGTAGCGGGAAACGTTTCAAGTCTTGAAACACTGAACTGAACACATCCATCATATTACTTCCAAAGCAAATAAATCATTAGGTTTTATTAAACGCAATGTCTATAGCTGTCCTAAATCAGTTAAGATGAATGCATACACTAGTTTAGTCAGACCCCATCTTGAATACGCTAGCGCTGCATGGGATCCGTACTACAAGGAACATATTCACAAGTTAGAATCGGTCCAGAAAAGAGCGGCCAGATTTGTTTCCAATACCTACATGTATGATACTTATGCCAGCACTACCAAATTGGTCACAGATTTAGGGTGGGACACATTAAAGGACAGACGCACAGCAAGTAGACTCACATTACTTCAGAAAGCAAGACACTCAAAAACAGCCCTTCCGGTCAAAACCTTGTTGACACCTATCCCGCGCCAATCGCGACACTTCAACTCCAACTCATACAAACCTCTAACGTTTCACAAAGACTGCTACAAATATTCATATTTTCCACAAACTGTCAGAGATTGGAACATTTTGCCCCAAGAGATATCTGATACTGCGGAACCCACGAAGTTCAACGCTGCAGTACTACAACACCTGAGGAAGCAGCAATAACGCATCGCACAGCTCCCCTGCACGTTTTACCCCAATCTAGGGGTGTTGTGCAGTACCCGAACAAGACAAGACAAGACAAGTCCGGCTTGTTTTTCACCGCCGACCGCAGCCGACTTGCAAGACGTCACCACCGCATCGAAGGGAAAGGCAAGTCCGGCGAAACGCACAGATTTGGATCCAGCTTTGGAGTGTTGGTGATCAAGCAAGCAATGGTCAATAAAGATTCGTGAAAAAAGACAATATTTCAATATTGATTTTATCGGTAACGGGGGGTAGTTGAATGTTGATGCACAAGTACATAGCTTTAATGTTTTTAATACGAAATGCGCCGAACACTTCTTTAATAGCGCTGAACCGATAGACCCATGGAGAGCAACAATCATACAGGCGGGGAACTGGGCGAAGTATTTGGGTGTAGAGGTGCTACCGAATTTAAAATTTGACACCGAAACCAATTAACACAACAACAAAAGACTACTGGGATCAATGGGACTTGCGATTCCGAACAGGAGAAAGTGACAAGTTTGACTGCGTTTCAAGTAATCTCTCGTTATGTGATAGATGTTTTGTCACAAAATCTAAGGAATAAAAAAAAAACACATGTACATGTATTAATTTGTACTCCGTAAAACTTATAAGTACAGTCTGTTCAGAGGAAAGAAAGACTTCCTTCTCGGGGTCCATGTTATGGAAAGCTGTCCTCAGCGCTGCGCATGCCACGGCCCTCTCTGTGTTCTTCAGCTGTATGTGCACTTTGCCTGTCGGCGCGCTAAACACCCCACCCACCGGCCGGGCGGTAAGATTTCATCAAAGACTACATTTTAAGTTAACTCCGCCCCTATCATTGTAGCTTGCCGAACAGTCGAGTAGGAGTACATCTAGCTGGAATTTTCACGTCGTACTGGCTGGTGTAGCCCGCTACAAAGTAATTTCCTGTGGCATTTATCAAGATTTAAAAATATTTGTGATACGAAGTGAAACATGGTTAACAATTTCTGAACCTTTGAAACGACATGGGCATAATCTTTGTTGAAGATTCCTGATTTGAACTCAAGCCGGAAGTGTATTGGAAATGATGACCATCAGTCGAGGCACAACTGTTATGTTATCACATGTTACGTTACGACGATCAAGAACGTTCACGGCTTGCGGACCATTTCAAATATTACCACTCATAAACCCTACAATTGTATGTGTACTTACGGGAGGTTATATTTTTGCCGGGGTTCCACTGAGATCGGCGCCGGCTAGCCGGGGAACGATCCTGTCGGCATGACAAAGCGCCGGGCGTCATTGCCAGAGACCTACATTTTCTTACCGTGGGTGACTTGACTTCTTCTTTTACCGCAACTTGATGTCAATATCGACGATAGTCACAGGAAATATGTTCATTTACTGAAGTTCAACTTTATTTCCACTCGTCAATATTCTTATCTAAACATGCTAAAGACGATCGATGTTCCAAGCTCCCCAACTTCCGGTGTTACGCTATATTCCTGGGTTGTGCATGGATTTGTCGGCGGAAAACTCAAATAAAGTACGCACCGCGACATTGGTGACGGCCCGAGACACTTCTGGGATTTTGAAAAAAGTAAAAAGTGCGTACTATATTCGGGAATTTACGGCGTATTTCTTGTAATTCGGTACTGCGCGACGCCATATTTTACAAAAGTTTTTCGGTGGCCCTCCCCCCCCCAGACCGTTTTTTTTTTTCGATGGCCTTCCCCCCGGCTCAATTTTTTTTTCCATGGCCCTACCCCCAGGCCAAAAAAAAATTCAATGGCCCTCCCCCCCAGTGCCCCAGTGCACCAGCCCTCCCCCCCGGTAAATATCGTACAGTCCCTAAGAACAAGAAAAAACATTGTCAATACGCAAGATTTGCTTCTTATCTAGAGATTA